CTGGAAGGGGAGATGTGAGCTGGCACGTGCTGGGGATTAGTGATCATGATGAAGACTTACTAACGACAAGACAGACTTGACTTCATTTCTGGGAGATAACTGTAAGCTATGATGGCAGAAAGATAGGTCCAGCTAATTCAACAGTTCAAAATAGAAAGGAATCATCTTTTAAACTGTGTTTCCCAAGTTGATTGATTTCTTTTGGAAGATGAAAGCTTATCCTCTAGCTAATTACGCAGCCTCTGCCTTTCCAGCAGAACAACTCCCAGGAACATCTGCTTAGTTCCTGTTGCCTGGCTGGGGCTGCAGAGACCACGTAGAAAGATGGTAATGGAGAAAGAGAAGCTCTCAATAAAACACTTAGCAAAAAGTGTTAGAAACCCCCTGGTAAGTCTTTTTCAGTGGCAATAGCTAAATTGAGTGCCAAAGTCAAGATTTTGAATATGTTTGGGAATAAGTGTGTGGCAGGGGCTTCTCCTGGTAGCTGCCAGCAAAAGGCTGCAAGGAAAGGAAGGAGGAGGATTGTGAAAATGTATTACCCTTCACTGGTGCCTTGGGTGGGAACTCAGGAGTCTGAGGCTTTTCTCAGGGAGGGATAAGTCATTCCATCCTAGTAGTGTGAATTAGAGACCTCGGGTCCTCCCTTACATACTTTCACTGGCCTAAGACTTCAGGTTTTGATCAACTAGATGATGCAAATGCCCAGGAAGGAAGTGGGTACCCACTGAATTGTCTTTAGGCATAAGTGAATGAGCCCATGAGACCTGTTCCTAAGAGTAGGATGAAGTAGCAGGAAGCGCTGGACTGTGAGGGCTGGAGAAACACAGAGTAGAAAGATGACTGGTTCTGAGTCATCTAGTCTTGCTGTTTACAGAGGATTCTTCTCATAACTGTCGGTAGCAAGAATGGCTTTTTCCCGTCTATAGATCAGCCCCCCCCCTTTTCTAATCGAGGTGGTCATCAAGTATCAAATGCCCACTGGGATGTCAGAGCTTGTCAGACTTTTTCTAATAATGCCATCTATTTATGCACTACTGCCAGCTCTTGGGAACATGTCTCTTAGGCTGGCTGATGTTCTAGGAAATTGGCCAGCTGTCCTCTCCAAACCATCCCCCATTCTGCCTGGCTTTTGAGCATCCATCTCCCTGGGGTAAAAGCACGTCTGGGGGTCCTGACTTCCCACCTTGCCTCTGCTTCCTCTGGAATTTGGCAGGAGGTCATTCTGTTTAGTCTTCAGTGCTCTCACTCCCCTCCTTCCGCAGTCTCCCCAAGTCTCCTGTTAACTGAGGGCAGATTACCCTTCCAGCCTCTGGCTCTGTGGATCCCATTTTGCTTGGACCCCAGAACAGCCTTCTCACCTCCATTCCTGCATCTGCCCCTAACAGCCTATTCTCCACACAATAGCTGGAGTGGTCCTTTTAAAACCTAAAGCAAAGCATGTCACCCTCCTGGCTTGAACCTCCTTGGTAGTTTCCTGTCACATTTGGAATGAATTCCAGTTTCCTTATCATAACCTAGAAGGCCCTTATATAATTCCAGTCCCACCTCCCTCCACCCTCATGTGGTCTCATTTTCCCTCGTTCACGGCCCTCTGTCCAAGCCTCCAGTCTGTTCTCAAGAGGACCAAGCTTTCTTCTGCCTTAGGAGTTTGTACAGCTTGTTCCACTGCTCGATATATTTTCTCCTTCCCCTCCCTCCTAGCTTTTTCCACAGTTGGCTCCTTTTCACCCTTCAGGTCCTAGCTTAAATGTCACCTTCTAAGAGAGGTCTTTTTTGACCACTCAGTCGAAAGTAATTTGTAATGACACGTGATTTGTAATTAGCTTGTTTGCTGGTTCTCTTGTCTGAGTTGTCCACCACTGTATCCCCAGCTCGGTACATTTTAGGGCCTGGTAGCAGTCAGAGCAGGCTAAGATCTGCAGCAATAACAAACAACTTCTTAATCTTAATGCCTTCAAACCACAAAGGGTTATTTCTCAGTCATGCTAAGTGTCCATCACAGGTTGGCAGGTGGGCTGTGCTTGTTGCAGGGTCCCAGGCTCGGGGAGCAGCCACACTCCCAAACATTCCCAGTGGCCTTAGCATAGAGATGAGAGCTTGGGAAGGCCCCACAGTGACAAATAAGTTCTCCAGCCCCCAAGTGACTTGTGTGTCACTTCTGCTTCCGAGTCATTGGGGAGGGCTAGTTACATCACCCCACTCAACCACAGGGAGCTACGAAGGGCAAGCCTACCCAGTGGCCAGGAAAGAGAAATGGAAATGTTTGTCATACAGCACTGAAGACTCACACAATACTCAGTAAATAATTTTAAATGAAGGAGCACCTAGAATGTTCTTTCTTCAGCTGCAGTGGGTTAGAGTGACCTTACAGGTCCTGCTGGGGATCTTGTGTTCCTCTGCAGGGCATCAGAGTTCCCTCAGGAGAAGCTCTGCAGACAAGGGTATCCCCTGAGACCCGACAGGGGTAGACACCGAGGCTCTGTGGCTGGTCACCTCCCAGTGTTCATCGCCTGGGGGGACCTGTTCCTGGGCTGTGTCCTCTGTGAGACAGCTTTTCCAAAAGGGTCCTACCATTCCTCTCTGAATCTATCACACTCATCAGGACTGAATAGATGCTCCTTTGGTGGAGCCCCAGTGGAATTCCTCAGAGGACTAGGGGCTGAGGTAGGTGGGTAGGTGGTTGGGTGGGGGATGGGAGACAGAGAATAAGTGCAGCGTTTCTCCAAAAGCCCAGTACATCCTGCATAACATTCCATCACTAGTCATAGGGATGGCAGTTATATACTCCAGGAAAGGCAAGAGAACTGTCTGTGACTGCTGTGGGATCTGGAGGTGTAGGGACAGGAAAATGCTGGTGGCCATCCTGATCCTGTTTCCTGGGTGAATCATTTCACGTGCGCAGGCTGCAGCAAGCCGCTCTCCTGTCTAAACTTGCATTTAATAAAATGGCATCACCACAGCAGGTCCTTTCTACCAGGCTGCAAGCGTTGGTTGCACTACAGTGGTGTCACACACACCCAGACACAGTGAGCCTTGAGAGAAAATGCTGTCCCTATGTCGTTATAAGATGCTTGAGTGTACATTTTGGCCTCTGGTGGCAATCACAATTTAAGCTAACATTTGTTGAGCCCTCATCAAGTTCCTAGCACTGTACTGAGAACTTTACATACAATCTCATTTAAATCTTCACACTTGCAGAGTGCCGGTACTACTATTGGGCAACTGGGGAAACTGAGGCCCACAGAGATCAAGTACCTTCCTAATTAAGTAACTGCTAGTTCTATTCTAAAGCCCTCCTTTGTACCAATGTTTCCTGATTCCAAACCTGTGCACTTAATCATTATTCCATAGGAAAAAGTTCATTTGATTCTCCTTCTAAGTTATGAATACTTGAGAGTTTCTTTTTTTGAGAAGCCTCCTACCCTTTCTCCCTTATAGTACCTGGAGTTTCTGTCATATAATTAGCACGCAATATAAGCCCTTAATGAGTATGAGAAGGGTAAAACAGATACTTAAGCTAGCAGACTAACACTAAGATATTCTGGTGACATGTTTTTTGTTGTCTGTTACTTAAGACTAAAGTAAAGCGTCTGTGCTTTTTGATACAGTTCTTGGGAGAGGGCCTAGATCTGTTAGTTGCTTATACATAACAATTTAATCAAGGCACAAAGCCTCTCATATAATACACACAGCCCCCTGATGTATAATTATAAACAAGGAAAGAATTGATTACATGGTGCTAGCTGCTGTGGATATGAAATTGAACAAGAGATAGTTTCCATCCTTAGGGATTATAGAGGCGGGCATTTAAACTATTAATTGCAATACTGTGTGACATGCCATGAGGTTTTGGTAGGGATCAGTGGGGCCATAAATCCTGCGGAGGCCAAGTAGAGTGGGAGTAGAATTCAGTTCTAGAAAGGGGTGATTCGGAAAATCAACCCAAACCCTATTTGGATAAAAGTGACACGTTCCCGGGCTTTGAAGGACCATGATGGGGACAGATTGTGGGTAAAAAAACCAGTAGGCCATTAGCTTGCCCACTGTACTTCCTTCATCAAGGCTACTCTGGTATTAGGATTCTGGCCCTTGTACGTGACCTGGGCCAAGTTATGGCTAGGCACTGGTAACTTCATTACTGCTAATGGGATGTCATTAGCCATGCAAGTCGTGGCAGCAGGCGGAGGTGCCACCTAGGGAGCCCCTGGCTGGCGTCCCGACAGCCGCCTGGACGCTTCCACACCCGCGTGCCACATCGTAATTTTCTTTGGTTTCTTTATATCAGGTCTGTCCTTCCCTTTTGCTTTCCATGACTTTGGCCTCGCCCTGACCTAAATCCACCAGGGGAGCACCCGCCGCACGCCCACGCTCAGAGTCCCCAGACTAGCTCCATATTCCTTCACTGCAGCAGCGGTCACGTGGAGCCCGTCCGCCGCGGAAAGAAGGAAATGAAGGTGGGTGGGGCAGGCGTGCCGAGCCCGCCCCTCCCTTCTGAGGCGGCTTCTCATTCGCGAAGCCTCCTTCCCAACCGCCCAAGGCTTGGAAGCTCCGCTTCTGATTGGCTAGTAGGCTTTCGACAGGCACGGCCTTTAGGGGGCGGGCGGGAGCTGAAGGGAGAGCGCGCGCTCGAGAGGCGGGGTTGCCTAGGCGACGCCGGGGGCGCGCTCGGAGGGTGGGGAAGCGAGCCCCGGCCGTTCAATGACAAATCGGCTGGGGACGGCTGGGGTCTGGCCCCGGGTGGAGGCGAAGGAGAGGGCGGGGCGGGTTTAAGAG